TTAAAGCAGCTTTTTCATACAAAAATTTTAATTTGTGTACTAAAAAGCTACTTTAAGAAGTAGAAAGAAAGACGTCTCAAACAAAGCCTAAGTTTATTTTTTTCATAGGAGAAATGCATTGGTTGGTTTGTGAAGTTGAAATTATTAACAAAATATAATAGAAGAAGATTGCAACATGAGATAAGAATCCAAAGAAGTGAGTGGTCACCACACACCTTACTCATAGCACAATGTGGGTAAAATATATGGTGTGTGGTCAGTGGTTTAAAAATCTTTGAGATATTAAATGTATTATTTGTAGTCATAGGAAACACCTATAATTAAAAAAACATTTTTGTCTTGTGTCATATTTTGATATTTCAATATTGTGGTAGCACAAATTTCAATTTAGTCGAGCATCTATAATTTTTATTAACGCCGTCTCTAAGTTTGCTAAACCCTAAATTTTTGTGAATTACATCTACTATTAGTAAAATCTACTTCAACCGTACAAAACTTTATTATTATTTTTTTTTCAAACCTATCACGTAAAAATGCTCGTCTCATACTCATTTTACTTTATTGATCTTACGTGGGATGCCCTCTGTAGCGAAAATAAAAATGAAATAAATGTAACATTTTTAGTTTTATTTAACTTATCCATTTTCCTTCAAAATTTAGAATATAATCCACATTTTTAATGTGTCAATAATCATTCAATATTATCTCATATTAAAATATGGTCCCATAAATGTGCCAAAATTTGATGAACTATATATAACTTCATAGCAATAAGTCATTTTCAACGCTCTTTATTTCTTTTTCTTCCCACCGACTCTTTTCTATCACAGCATGACAAAGTGGCTTTTCATATGTTTGTCTGTTTACATGCTATTGATATCACCCACATGATATAGCTTCTCTTCTCGATCTGCTTTTGCCATATAAATTATAGAGAAAAGTTGTACAAAAATAAATAAACATTTATGAGTTTGATCCCTTTAAATTATGAGTTTTTATTTGTCTCAATGGAATGTTTTTTGCAGCACAAAATTTTGAAATAGATTTCTTGTAATTAACTATGTAATTTCAATAGATAAAAGAGTTAAAAAAGATTATTTATGTGATCAAATATCTATTTTGAAGTAATTTTTATAGTTCAAAATGGTATGTATTTGGGTAAAATTTTTCATAGTCGACTTCAAGATTATTTGAATTTTAATATCAACAAATTAATAGTCCAGACAGTACAATTTAACGATACGAAGAACGTGTTGATCTTAGTTTAAAAACGTTTGAATTAGACACTTAGAAGCATGATTGAACTTAATGAGATCATTTGAGGGATCAAATGCACTCCTAACTTCACATGCTTATAGTTAAAATGAGTGCTTGGATAGAACAAATCCAACAATCTAATCTTTACTTAATCATGATATCATTAAGATATTGAGATGCTTAACAAATGTTAGATGATTAAGAGAGTCAATTCAAATTATTTGATGGAAGGTCATAATTTTTTTACAAAAAATTTGACTTGAATATTTCTTCTAGAAATTTATAAATAAAATTATATATGCGCATGTGGGGGAAGAATTTTTGTGGACTAAATTTTTTTTCTAAGTTCTATTTGTTAATGCAAAGCTTTGACCGACAACAACTTTTGCAATCATTATTGTTGAAACCTATCATCGTCCAGCACCACCATCCGTTGTTGACCAATGTCGACACTCCCCATTCCCACTACTAGACTACCACTTTCGAAACCAATAAATCACATCCATTGATTAACATCGATGCCCATTACCACCACCATTTAAAGTTGATTGACTAAAGACATTCAACATAAGCCTTTTCGGTATCTAGTCTTGCCTCTTATAAAGAGTACGATCAAGTTAAATCACTCAAGTTACCCAACCTTCAATATTCCTTGTTGGCTATTACTCGAAACAAGCCAAAGATAGATATGATCATTCATTGATTGTTGAGTTTGATGGAAGCCTTCTCAATCATCTGGTCTTCTCTCCTATAAAGAGAATGATGGAGCAAACCAACCAACATCATTATACCTGTCATGCTCCTCAACGACAATCGCTTCATTTCCACTAAAGTTCCAATGTCCACTAGTTGCTAATATCTAAAATGTCTTTTCATAGTTGCTCGAACTCTCCTTCTTTAAAGAGATTGATTGAGCGAAACACTGGCCATTGCTCATTCTTCGATGTTCTTAGTTGATCATTGCCCAACACATACTAAGGAGTGATGTTTTCATTGATCAATTATTGATGTCTAATATAAGCCTTTTTGGTAATTATTCTCCCTTATAAAGAGAGTGACCGCATAAAGAGAGATTATTACATGCTGTGTCTAGATGCACCGGGCCTTGGGTGACGTGGCACATTCGGATTCACCATCGAACGAATCTAGATACCGCACGTAATAATCTGCCCCACATAAGACAACTCGTCGACCTTTGATGTTCCTCATTAACTATCATTTGATGTGCTTCAAAGATTGACGTGTGACATCTTCCAATCATTGTTCAACACCAGTTTTCTTAGTTGCTCATTAAATGACCTCATTTATTTGAATGCAATTATCATACCTTTTAATAAAAGAAAAGGCAATAATTAATTAATTATAGAATAAATAAAAAAAAGGTCATAAGTCATTCCTTATAGTCAAGTGCTAGAAAATGCGTACACGGCTTAGGCTATGTCAAAATATGCCTAAAATATATATATTTTTTATTTTAAATAAATTAATATTAATAATATTTTTATATAAATTAATAATTTAAATATTACATATATATAAATATATAAACAATTTTATGGTATATATGTAAATCTTCCTTTAATTAATTAATTGACAATGAAACAATTATTAGAAAATTATTGTGGTTCTCTTTGCTGTCCACCGCCCCACTAATCTATATATGAGCTAATAGTACCATTAAGTTTTTGTTCTTATTGTTTATGTTGGGGGCCAATACACCGACCATGTTTTGAATAAGAGAAATAAATGGTCCACATAGGAGAAATTATTATTATTCCCTCAATTATTTGTCACACTTCAATTGTTTTTGTCTGCAATTTTATAATCTAGGACAAAAATAATTTATTCAAATGTCTAAAATATTATTAAATCATACTATTATATGTGGGGTGCCTTAAAATAATAATTATGTAAGACAATAATTTTTTATGCGAGCCTAATAATAGGAAAAAAATAGAAATTAAAATAATGATAAAATTTTACTTTAAAATTAGGACACCATAAACTCTTAAAATTGCATGTTTGTGTAGTAAAATTTTGATTGAAAGTGAAAATAGGAGATGTCGGAAATTAAAATAAGGAAAATACTTTGAAATTTCTTTTGATCTTTCAATATGAGTGTCAAAATAAGTTTTCAAGTTGAGTTCAAATCCAACTCGAAATTAATTCGCTCTTAGTTCACTCGATCCGAACTCGACCAATCTATCTAAGCGGGTTAAAATCTCATATTCGAACCAAACCAAACATGACCCGAACCGCTGAACCGAAACAAAAGCTGCAAACTTCACATTCCTTATTGATGAGTCACAAATGATCACTCATTGTAATGGTAATCTTTCTTCCAATTCATGTACTTCTTCGGCCAAATCACAAATTCATCTAATGGAAGTTGTCCCTTTTCGCCTACTTCAATTATTTGATGTTTCCTTCATGTCCGGGAAGTCATGATAGCTCTACGACCTTCTTCGCCTCCTTTAATCAACGACGACGACGAGAGCTCGCTCAATGCAGCGATAGCGCACTCTTCTTCAACCAAATCCCATAAATCCATTTAATCCTGATAAAAAATAAGTTAATTCTAGATTGGCGGGTTGCCTTAAACTTAATCCATTTATTAAACGGATGAACCCAAACTAAAAAATTTCAAATCGAATCACAGACTGGGTCAATTTTTAACACCCCTAATCTTTCATTTGGACATTAATTCTAAAGGGTGTCATCAAAACTCTGACAAGAGATGATTTTACGGTAATTTTTTATTAAAATGCAATCAAAATTATTTTTATACATATTAACATGAAAAAAATATAAACTTACTAATCAATGTCATCTCAAAATAAATTCATTTATCAGAATCAAATTTGAACCTCTAAACCAAATTTTCTATTAATCTCAAAATTAATGAAAAAATAAAACTTTAATAAGATTATTAAAATTCATAGCCTTAATAGAAAGAATTATATATAAAGAAATAACATTAAGATAAAAATTAAGATAAATTTCTCATACATAAAAGATATTGAGAAGTACAATACCAAAATAAATTAAAATATAGATTACATTCAAATAACAAAAAATTAAAATAACAACTAAATATTTATTTATGATATATTTATATTCCAATTTATTTTATAGAGTAAAAAATATTTGTTTTAATTATATTAGATTTAATTCAAAAATTTGATAAATAATATTAATGATTAAAAATATATAAAATGATATATGGGAAAGAATATACTAGGAATATTCTTTTTTTGGTGTTAGAAAATAGAGTTCGGGTGGAGACAAGTTACTGCATTTTGGTGTATTACTGCATTTTGGAGTGAAAAATGAGTTTTTCGGTTGGAGATGGTCTAACTAGCCTTTTTAGGTCTATTTCTACCTCTTAACATTAGTCAAATCTATCTTGATCGGGTCATCAAAAGACTGATGTTTTATGTGACAAAACCATCTGAGAAGACTCTATAATCTTATGCTAGTGGAGCTATCCAACCTTTTCACGAATATGCTCACTTCACATTCTATCTCTAACAGTAAAGCCACTTATTCACCCGAACATCCTCATCTCTGCAACACTTAATTTTATGTTTCTCATTTAATGGCCAACATTCTAGACCATAAAAAAAATTATATTGCACTAATCTAAAAGCAAATGCAATAATTTTATGTACATCCTAAAACAAATTATAACCAAATATCACATTATTTTTTTACCTGTTTAAGCAAAGATATTAAAATCAATATGAGAAATACTTCAGCCATTCTTCTTATGATTATCTCGAAATAATAAATTTATATAAAAAAAATCTAAAATCTCTGGTTTAGAAGTTTCTGGATGAAAAAAATAAAAAAAAATGCAATAACATGATTATTTTTTTTTTACCTCATCTCTTAGATTTTTTGGTCCTCTTTGCAACTTGAGATTTTCTTGGTGCCTTCTTAGGTGCCTTTGCAGAAGGTTTCTTCTTCTTGTTCGGAGTGACCTACAAAAAGAAGATATCAAATGGAGGCACATTATTAGTTTGTAAGACTGAAAATATACTCGTTCCTAGTTATAGAAATCTAAGGCTTCGTTTGGGACAGCTTTCTTACTGTTTTTAAAAGCAATTTTTTAATAAACTAATATAAGAAATTTGCTTTAGAAAACTTTAAGAAAACTATCCCAAACAAAGCCTAAGTTTTTGTTTGGGACAATTTTTTACTGTTTATTAAAGCAGGTTAAAATTTTTGTACTAAAAAATTGTTTTAAAAAGCAATAAAAAAGCTGTCCCAAATGGAGCCTAAGACTTCGTTTGGGACGGCTTTTTTATTGCTTCGGCTTCATTTGGGATGGCTTTTTTAATGCTTCTTAAAGCAGTTTTTTTGTACACAATTTTTAATTTTTGTATTAAAAAACTACTTTAAGAAGCCGTAAAAAACCCGTCCCAAACGAAACCTAAGTCACAAGCAATGAGGATGCGAAATGTAGCTTAACATAGTATTTAGAGAAATCAAAAAGGTCAGAAAAATGCTCAACAAAAAAATTAGCAGGCCATGCATGCTTCAAAACCTTAAAAAGTAAACGAAATAATCAGATAACTTGCTCCAAATCTAAAGACCAAAGGAAGATAAAGCAATAATTGCAAAGCTCCAGTACTAGAGCTGAGGAAAAACGACAGATCCCAGTTTTCTTACAATTATCAACAAGAAAGCAGCAATAAAACCTTCGAGGATTGACGAATCACGAATCAGATTAGATCATAGCAATTTTGAACACTGACAAGTAATATATAATTCTCATTTTTTTAGCCAACATGACAGGAAATTATCTACAAGAAAATTAGGTACAAAGTATTACCAATGATTTCTCAGTTTTTCCTCTGGCTCTTTTATTTGCTTGGCCTTCATTCTCATTGTTTGGATCACTTTGTTGGACAAAAACCTTGGAAACTTTCTCCCCCTCCTCATCCGAATAAAAAGAGAATCCATCAAGCGTGCCTAGTCAAAAGAGATCATGATAAACACATAATGTCTTAAGGATGGGGAAAATGTATTCTTCATTTGTTGAACAACATAGATTTATTGCATGTTCATGTAACTACTTGATACATTTACCATTTGAAGAGAAGTATACTTAGGACCAGGAAAACAGAATAGCAAGATTTATTTAGGTTTCGTTTGGGACGATTTTCTTGATGCTTGTTAAAGAGTATTTTAGTAAAAAAATTAAACATTTTGTACTAAAAAATTGTTTTAAGAAGCGATAAGAAAGCCGTCCCAGACGAAGCCTTAGTATCAAGAGGTTCCCAATTATGGTAGATGTAAATGTTAACCAAAATGAAGCTGAATGACTAAATGATTAAATCATATATAGCTGGCACTGACTTGAGCCTTTACGTCAAAAAAATGGGCTGTAAATAATGTTCCAGATTTATCTATTTATTGCCCTTTGTGTTGTTCCTTTCCTCAAAAACTATTATGCTAAAAAGCAACCAAAGTTAGTTGGAAGCTCAAATAGCAATTCTCTTAAATTCAATCTAACGGATATATATCTCTGCTATTTGCGGAACCCAGATTATTTATTAGATTTAAATTGTGAATTCATACCATATAAATACATCAAGAATAGACAAAACATTTACAAATTCAAGGATTTTGCATAATTAAGGAAAGCTGAAAAAAAGAACTAAATCAAGAAACAAACATTCTGACACCTCGCAAGCATTCAATAATAAGCCTGAAAAGAACCAAATACAAGTAATTGGGTTTAGCAATAGGAGGCAAACTGAAATACCTGGGCAGGATTTATTAGAAAATAGATTTTTATAGATAAGCATATCTAGCAGAGATTTGAAATCCACATGTGAATAATTAAAATCAAGGATCAAAAGAAAAGGATACTTGCCTTCAATCAGTGTTTCAGCTTCAAACATGTTTGACTGAGGTTCCAACCTGACAAAATCATTCATGATGGCCTCTATCTGTGCAGTCAACATCCTTGATTAGTTAAATAATGACCAAAGCAAATTTAAAGAATACATGCAAAGCATATCATCATCAACATTATATATTTAGGCTTCATTTGGGACGGCTTTTTTACTGCTTCTTCTAAAAGCAGCTTTCTAATACAAAAATTAAAAATTTTGTACTTAAAAAAAGCTGCTTTAAGAAGCAGAAAGAAAGTCACCCCAAACAAAGCCTTAGTTTCATCCCAATAATTTGAGCTTGGCCCTACAACATTTCAACATTTTTAGTCATATTAAATGTTGCATGTTGTGCTAATACTAGTTCACATAAAACTTCTTGTACAACTTTTTATGCAAATCTTTTGTACTACTCATCATCAACCACAACTAGTATCATGTACCTTTTCCTTCATATCCCTTTTTCATCGATTTTTTTTTATATCCCATACAATAGTGCATATTCTGCTCTGCATTCTACATTCAATAATCACTGATATATTTTTTATGGCATTATTTATTAATATATTCTACCTATAGTCTATAATGTGATCATTGGCAATGTAATACTAATTTTAAAGCATCCATCTAATATTCATTTAGCGCATGCCCAACTTAACTGTTAGATATTCGTTTGTTGTCCGACAAACAAATTATATGACAACTATTTTTTTATGAAAATTTATAAAACTTTCATGTAAATCTCCATGATGTTCTACAACATGGTAGCCAAGAGGCGCCTCATTTAAAGCACCTAATTTTCCAAGCATTTAAATTTTTATATCTTCATCCTTTTGCATACTTAGGCTTCGTTTAGGACGGCTTTCTTCTTGCTTTCTAAAACGGCTTTTTAGTACTAAAATTTCTTGAATATGATATTATTGTATTAGAAAGCCGTTTTAAAAAGTATTACGAAAGCTGTCCCAAACGAAACCTTAGTCTATGCTATCTAAACTTAGCAAACTTAGCAGCATCATCATAAAATCTTATTGATTCATCTTTGATATTTGCACGTTTCAAACAGTAAGGACCATGTACTTGATTTTTGTTCTATTAGTCATACGCACCAAAAATTTTCTTTAGCATCCTCCTTTATTAACTTCTCATGTAATTCAACTAACCTTACTCAATTAGAATTTCATATGCATACGGCACTAAACTAATCAAATTTTGGCATTACCTTGATCCCCAAACTTTACAGACTGGCATTTATAGTTCACACATCTATATAAGTACATGCCATGTACTTGGCTTTGTTATACTAATCCTCAGCACCAAATCTTCGTATGCCCTCCATTGTTAACTTCTTGTATAGGTCAAAACTAATCTTACTTTATGAAACATACATCAAGGAACCTTCTTAAAATATCTACCGCCAGAGCATCCAAAAGAAGTATAGAAAGATATTTGATTTTTGGTCTAACATAACCCTATTGTGAATGCTTGGTCAATCCACAATGATCTTAAATACCAGTCATTACCACTATCATACATATCCATAATAATTTCCTTCTCCACAACAATGACACTTAAAATATTCCCCTAAACGTCAACAAGTTTAATCTCATGATATTTGGTCATATGCTTCTTTATGATCAAGATAAATAATATTAAGATCATTTCCTTGTTCTCTATTTATTTCTACTAGTAGCTTTGAATAAAAGTAGCAAGCAAATGCTATTATATTTTTGGTTTAAAACCAAAATAATTTCTAAATACTAAGCATGACTCTCCGTAACCCTTGTTCCATCATCGCCTCTCCAAACTTCATTTTATGATTCATCCATTTTACCCTTATGTTTAGCACTTACATAATTTAGGCATAATAAAAACTCTTACATAAAATCAACTAAGTACAATGGTAGCTTCCTAAGAATGAATGATTTATTTAGTTTATCTTCATGTTGTTTAAAGATATGAAATTATCATAACAGCTGACATTTACAACATCATAGGTAAAATTTTGGGTGATTAATCATTCAATATACTTCAAATTATCATTCACTACAGCTTATTTTTTCTTCAATGACCACCATCTTGATTATGTCAAGCTTCAAACTGTAGACCTCTTCTATAAGTATATGCACTTCATTTATCAGGCTACAAAAGCTCAGTGATTTTTTTATCAATTCCAATGAATTTAACTGAAAGAAGAGTTAGATAACGGCAATTTAAAATGGAGGAAGAGAACAGTTAAATTAAAAACTTATGAAAAGTAACATGTCTTTAAAGAGTACAACGTATAGTTGCATGGAGAAGTAGTTTCATTCATAGTATAAAGTTTAATCTACAAAGAAACCATTGTTAAGTAGATGGTTCCTCGTAGAAGTGGAATTAGTAAAAATCAATTAAAATAAAAATGTCAATTGTTCGGATAGAGTTCATTTAATTCAATTACTTTTAATTCAATTACTTGTAATTTGGATGGAATCAGATAATGATCTTAATAAATTAAATACAGTTTTAAACATGTTAGAAACACACTGCAGAGAGCTCAAAGAAATTCCAGTAAAGGTTTGCCAACAAACCTTTGCTTCTGATTGACCAACACTAACCTGAGCAGAAAAAGAAGATACATAGCATTAAAGTCCAGCAGTTGGAATGAAAGGAAAACCAGAGAAACTAATAGTTAAATTGCAAAATGACAGGTCAAGATTGTCCTTTCTGCTCTTGTGAAGATTACATACAATGCAAAATGTCCTTGAAGGAACTATTGTTGACTTATATATGGTCCCTATCACAACAAAAAGGTAATAAACAAAATTAATAAAATATTGACAAAATAATAATCGAGCTAAAATCAGCTTTTAAGGGAGTCCAGTTCCATAAAGTTAGGAGAGGAAATGAGAGATTAGTCCAATAATATGAAACGAAAAGAACTGAAACGCACAACCTGAGAAGGAAAACATCGCCATATAAGTTAATGTACTGAAGTTTTAAGAGTTAAATAATCCAAAATAGAATAAGTTGGCACTAGGGATCGTAAAAATGGTGAAAGAAAACAGGCGCGGCATGAAGAAAAAAAAGGCATTATTTTTCATTCATCCATTAATTTTTTTGTTTATGTGTGAATATGTGAAGAAATTTATAAACCGATCCCCTCAAAAGTACCAGATAGTATAGATTGAAGGCCTAATAAGTAATAATATTTCCAATCAAAATCTGAATTATGTGTTCAATATTCTGAGTGTCCTCTAAATTTAGAGGATAAATGTTGCTTAATCTAATTTATAGCAAACTCAAGCTTTAGTCCAAGCATAGTAATAAAACAAATCAAGATTGTCGGCAGCAAAAATAAAAAGAGGAGGCAATTACTGTCTAGCAGACGCCCCATTTGAAACGGACAGCAGCAGTCCAATTGATCAAGGAGAAAAGAAGAGTGAAGAGTAAACAGTGTCTGAATAGTTTAATGCGTCCGATTCTCTAAAAAATGCCATGAGAAACATATTGGATAATTTTCCAGTCATCAGCCTCATATCTGTCACTGGGAGGGGAAAAGGAAGAACATTGTAAACAGGCCCGTCATAGGGGTCCAAAGAGGAGGCAGGGAAGAAGATGAAAGGAAGGATCCCACAAACCTTCCTTGGACAAACAACCCTCTGCTTGATACTAACTGCACCAATGTGGTGTGATGGAGTAGGGAATCTAGTATATTAATGTCATTGTTTATTTTCATTTAACTTGCATTCATGAGAAGACAAGTACAAGAAAAAAAAAAATCTTCTGCTTTCACTGAAATTTGAAATATCCAAACAAATCCTTAAGTTATAAATTAAGATCTTTTACCGAATGAGGGGCATGCTAACGTTTACAAATGAAAGAATGATTGTATGGTTTCCTTTATTTATCATGATCCTTCCTACCAAAGGGATATAAAAGGAAAGAAGGGACAGAGCCACAACATGTTCCCAGAATGAAGTTCATAGCTATGGAGAAAGATGACTTCATTTACTATGTAAAGCATATGGGGAAAGTCATACTCTTCGAAGCTTTATAACCAATACCTTTTAAATCTAAAAACAATTCATTATTCCCAGAAGAGCCTTTAGAAACTATTATTCGCCCGACAGCACCAACATCACCACTTAAATCTATGGATTCGCCATCACATTCAACAAGTGCCTGCATCAAATAAAGTCATCATAAAGCCATGCAAGCACAAGGGATTCAATACAAAATGACACGTGCCCATGTTAATATTAAATTAAAGGTTTTGCCAAATTTATTCCATGTAAAACAATTTAAAATCTTGTTTCATACTATATTATCAAGCATTTAAATGTCTATAGCTTACCTGTGAGCTGACCACATTTTAAATAGTACATACCAAATGATGCTAATTAAAAGTAGGGAGATTTATGCATAGGCCACTAAACTATTACTGTGGCATGCAAGATATCAAGTCATTAGAGAGACATTTTGATCCCCTTAACTACAAATAACGTCACACACAATTGAAGAACATAGAACAAACAGAAGTTTTTTTTTTTAATGGGAAACACAAAAAACAAGGAAAAAGTATGGGGTCAAATCTAGTTAAGATTCAATAGTATATATGAGATATAATGAGATGTCCTTCCTCAAACTCGAGAATGCGGCAATAAAATGAAATTGAAATTGCAATGTTACTAGTATACAGTGTTTGAAATGCAATGACATCAAGTGCTTGGACAATCCTCTGTGAGATGAAGGCAGCAAATACTGAAGGTGGTGAATAAAGTGAAATTGAAAGGTTGGGAGGTGAATGTTAAAATCCCAACCATCCCTTTGGCCCTTGATCCCGGCCAAGGATGGAGATTCGTGGGAGGCTCACTTGGATTACGCCAATCTCCTTCCATATTCGGGTGGCTGATTTAGAAAGGATTATATTAGCGCAATTATGAATAATTTTGTATTTATTTGCTTCCTTATTAAGATATCCTGCATAGATCTATAAATAGGTATAAATTTGTGTAATAATAATCGAATCCTTTTTCCCTCTCCAATTCTGTGAATTCTAACATGGTATTAGAGCCAATGGCATTCATTGCCGATTGAAGAACGATCGTAGAATCGTTGGATGAGGAAAAAAGAAGAAGAAGAAATCGGAGCTTCCAGACGCCGCTGACGCTGCCTCCAACTCGGACGAACGCAAGCAGGCAGAGTCGGCACCAGGCGGAGTCGAACATTTAGGTGGAATCGGCACCATAAGGAGGCAGCACCAGGCGGAACGGGAGCAGAGCTACGAAGCTCTATCCGACTCTCGCACTACCTACGAACGTTCGAACAGCCAAGAAGGAACTGATTGAAGTATCGTAACTTCAGAAGGGAGAAGTCGTAGAAGGAGCATAGTCGAACAACCACGAAGGAGCCGAAGAAGCACCTCCTGCGACGCACCCGAAGCCGAACAGCAACGACGTCGAAGGAGCGTAGTTGAACAGCCACTAAGGAGCCGAAGAAGCGACGCGTGCCTACACCTCCTACGATGCAACGAAGCCATAGACGGAAGCGGACGAAGCTTGCGAAGAATTGAAGCACGTCTGACTCACGTGTGCGAAAGAAAGGCTTGATGCCCTAGCTTCTCTCGATCCGAGTCCTTTAAAGCTCGGTTCAGTTCTGTTCGGTTTACTAAACCGAGAGGTTATTTAAAAAAAAAGGCCCTTTATTGCCATAACTAAAGATTGGAGGGATCTTATGTTTTGAAAGCCTTCATTATTGTCCAGAATCAAACAGATAGTCTTCATTACTATTAAAAAAAAAAGCCAAATTTTTGAAGAATATAGGTTCCCACTACCGGCCTTCATTGCCGGAATTATGAGGAATATTGGTCCTTATACTGGCCTTTATTGCTGGAATATTGAGGAATGCAGGTTCCCACCTCCGGCCTTCATTGCCAGAATTTTGCCAATATATTGTCATGCCTTCATTGCCGACATTCCCTTGAGAATCGAGAAGGAGACATACCTAAAGGATAATTAATCCACCCTCTCTGTTGTCCCACCACTAGCCTTTATTGCCATTTCTGGTATCTTGAGGGCTATTGTTCAACGCAGCCTTCATTGTTGCCCTTACAGGCTTGATTGATATAGCCTTCATCGATATCATTTGTCATTGAAGCTAATTCTCCCACAGTTTTAACCAAATAGAAGACTATGGTACACTAAGAGACTTGATAATTCTACTGGACTAATTACCAAGCTGGGAACGACTGATCTGTATTCCTCAGCTTGAGGGGGAGTGTTAAAATCCCAACCATCCCTTTGGCCCTTGATCCCATGGCCAAGGATGGAGATCCCACCGTGGGAGGCTCACTTGGATTACGCCAATCTCCTTCCATATTCAGGTGGCTGATTTAGAAAGGATTATATTAGCGCAATTATGAATAACTTTGTATTTATTTATTTCTTTATTAAGATATCCTGCATAGATCTATAAATAGGGATAAATTTGTGTAATAATAATCGAATCCTTTTTCTCTCTCCAATTCTATAAATTCTAACAGTGAATGAGGGCAATCAAGATAGTCATTTTGGAGATGGAGGTGGCACAACCTGAAGGTGATGGAAAGGGAGCATGGGATGGCAAAGAAGGCCACTAAAGATGGTCACATCCATCCCCCCTTAGAGGTGGAGATGGCATGACCTAAATATAGTGATGAAGTGCCGTGGGAAGGTTGTAGAAACTACTAGAGCTGGTCAACTTGGCCCTCTCTGGTAGGTGGAAATGACACAATCAGAACTTGAAAGGTAACTTAGAGTCAAGGGCAACTTGAGTCCATGAGAAGTACAAAGTTAGCGAGCTATTAGAGACAGTCAAGGCAATCCTTCTAATTGAAAGTGGGATTGCACGGTCAAAATCAACAACACAATTGTAAGTGATCGGGATGGCCTTACTCCAAGATGGAGGAGATCGAAATAAGTGATAGAGCAGATGTACAATGATGGGAGACATTAAGCGGTGGGCAACAATAGGCATCAAGCAACGTGTCGAGCATTAGGCATTTAATGACAATGGGCACCGGGCAACAACAGACAACATAAGGTCAACACAATTATTCCCATTGAGAGAGGAAATACTAGATGATCAAGAGTCATTACAAGACTAGAGACGGCCAGGACAATCCCTCTCATAGAGTGGGGAGTCATGTGACCTAGAGTCGACAAACGTCAGATGAGGAAAACTAAAGACAATTAGCTAGAAATTCATGCATTTGTTGAAGCTCTGAAATTCTCCACAATCCAATGACTTCTACTTTGATTCCCTCTCCTGAAAGGAAGGAAACAAGTGAACCAGAATTGGCAAAGAAGGTTGGATGTGGGAAACGAGATACAACCAATTGACTCTCCAGGTGACGATCAAAGCACAAAAACTATCTGATGACTCCTATATTGGTTAAAAATGACGAGAATAGGTAGAATCAAACCTTATTTACAGATTTTTCAATTAAAATTTTAATTTCTCTCAAAAGTTATGATGATAGATCATAGATGACAAACCTAAAGGTGGATTAGGCGGCCGACAATGATGGTGTGGATGGCCTCCATCGATGAAGCCTATGATCAACAAGTTATTTGTGTTTAAATAAACCAAAACTTGTGCAATTAGGTTAACTGCAAAAAAGAAAGGAAAAATAAAATCATTGAATCTCAAAAAAAGTACAATTTAACGATGAACCACGAAACTTTAAGCCACCACCATCTCCAGCTTCAGTTTGGGCAATAGACATTAAATTGTTAATGTCATTCTTTAATTTTCTGATTGGCTCGGGATGATTGCTTCTTTCTACAAATATTACTGAAGATCACGCTGGAACGCTTGCAAATTTCAAGTGCACTATATTTCCTGATTCTATTTGCATGCTTACCTAAAATCAAGTTCTATTGCATCATTTTTTTCCTCGTTTCATATCAGACAAAAGATTAACAACTTCAGTAGCATGTTATCCTCAGCTCTACACCTCTATTTAGGTAGAACATTATCTCTTCTATGCATATCTCACAAATAGTTTATATATGATAATATTAGCTAATTGAACTAACGAAATTTTACCAAAAGGACAAGTTTTGTTTGATGGATGAGGTAAAGAAGTACCTTTGAGCGCTGCACCTTCTCAGGGAATACCAGAGGCAGTCGTGACACCTACAACATGGCAGAAAACCCATCCATAAGTTTTCTAATGAGATGCAAGAGATTAAAATATCATAAAAAATAGTGGTGAGCATACAATATAGAAAATTGAAAAAGTGGGAAGGAAAAAATAGCTCATTTTTAGGGTCCACTTTGGTATCCTACATGTTAACCATCAAATGTTCAATTTTCAAGTAAGAAAAATCAGTTAATCATCTCAACCACAAATAAAATGCAAAATAAACAGATGGCCAGACATGCATTTAAAAGAAATCCACACTGAAACATCACGAAACAAATAGAAACCCATGTTAAATATGCATGACTTCCTCAAGAAATTCAATTAATTTCAAGGGACAATCCTATCGCTACAATAGGTTGATATCTTACTAAAGATGTCGCAGGCTTCGCTTTTGTATCTTCCTGCCCATCCACAGGTGCATCCAACGCTTCTGTCAAGGTAGGGAAAACAACAAAAAACAAATATGAAAGGAAAATGGCTTGCATAATGCTTCGTAAATAATTTAGCAACATAATAAATTAATTCCAAATAATATGCAAGCAAATGGGAATATTACCAGCTTTTGGAATGTGAGTCTTCCTTTTATAGGTATTGGGTTTTCCAGACTTAGAGACTGGAGTGTCTTCTCCACTACTAATCAGGACCGTGTCCCGTTTCTTTCTAAGCCTCTCCACTTCATTATGCCCATCATGGGATGGTTTTGGAGTAACTTCTGGAGAGGTATCAGAACTAAGTTCAAAAGAACGATCTGGTGCCTGCTCCAGAGGAAATAAAAATCAGGCAATCTGGTTAATATTAGTTGTCAACTATAATGCACTAGTTTTTATTTTTCTTTGAAAAAAGATGCGTACAAAGTTGAGCAATAGCAGAATAAGTAAGTTTATGTCACCATTAGGAATTAAGAACTAAGCATATAGCAATTCATTTTGCAGCAACTCCGTATCACATACTGTAAAAATGCAACTTTGAACAGATCTTTCCATTACAGATCTATGGTTTGTTATCACGAAGCATTAGAAGAACTGTCATCGAATAAAAAAATTAAAAGAGCGTTTAAAAAAGAGGAATAATATTCCAAGATTGTACAAAAATGTGTACCAATTGCAAGAGGAGGTCTTGGAAATTATTGATATAGATGTATACCATTCCAAGGCCCATAATTGCTTAACAAAGCATATCAAATGAGTACGAAATGAGGTTTTCTGAAAAACTTGGACAAATTGAACTTGCTCAACTAGAAGGAAATAGAAAAAAAGAAATTCATAAATATAAGTCACTTGACTTTGAACTATCACTTCAAAGAAATCACTCATAAGTTTCCTGCACAATTTGGGCATTAGAACATAAAGTGGACATGAAATTATGTCACTTGACTTTGAACCATTAAATTTCTTGACAAAGACTGATGATGATCATGATTCTCAGATCACAGTATCACACTATTGAGATTGAACATATGATCGAAAGTTTAGATTGTGGGCCTCCAAAAGGACACCGCTCGGTGGGGGACAGAACGCAAAAGGTACGATCGCACTATCCCGTTGGACAAAACAGTTGCAGACCTTTGCACTTTTCGCAAGTGGCCAATGGGAGGGCAGATAAGATCATACATATGATTAAACATTAAGGATAGCGGCTGAAAAAGAAACTGGAGAAAAAACAAGACTACACTCTGAGCATGCAAGAGATAAAGATGGAGGTGGTGTCATCCATATGATGCAGATATGTGGGATTTATAGCCTTTCAAGAATAGAGGAATTACCCACCGATGAGGCATAGTATGGGACACCGATAGTAGTAGCCTTGAACCCTAAATCATACTTCATGTAAACCTTTGGTAAACTTGAAAATTTTAGATATAAGAATTAACAATTTCGAGGAAAGTAATGATTCCTTAATGAGTAAGACATAACTTTTGCTATGTGCAGAGCTTTGGTAATTCATATATCATTTTATTGCAATATGTTGATGATGTATTGATCAAAGAAGAGAGAAAACAAGAAATTGACAAGTTGGAAAAAATATTGTCCAAGGAGTTTGCAATAAAGGATTTGGGTGCTGCTAAACAAGTCCATAGGATGGAATTACAAGGAATAATAATTTTTTTAAAGCTATCACAAGAAGACAATTTGTGAAATGTGCTTAGCAAATTCAACATGCAAGATGTCAAAACTATAAGCACTCCTTTGGATAGTCACTTTAAAATATAAAAGGAATAGCCTCCTTTGACAGAAAAGAAAGAGCGCATATGAAAAACATACCATATGCTTTAGCTATTGGTAGTTTTATGTACGTTATGGTGTGTAACAAACCTGATATTACCATAGTAGCGGGTGTTGTATATATATGAGTTACCCAAGAAAATAATATTGGAAGGCAGTGGAATGGATCTCATGAATCTAAGAGGAACTGTAGATTATGCTCTAAGTTTCAAGAATTCTAACTTATAACAACACAGATATGTTGATGCTGATATTGCTGAAGATACTGATGAGAAGAAAAACACTAATATAGCTGGCACAACGACCAATTTAGTACAGAAGAACACTGTTCTTTTCACTACCGAGATAGTGTACGTTGTTGTGATCGAATTAAGCAAGGAGACTGTTTGGTTGCAGCCATTCATGGAAAAAATGGGTCAAAAAATGTGGCGAGTGTGTTGCATTGTGACATTTAGAGTGCATTTACTTAGCAAAGAATCCAATTTTTTATGATAGGACAAAGCGCATTCAAGCTTTTTATCACTATATCCAATCAGCTTTTGAGAGTAATATTCTAACAGTTCAAAAGATTCTTCGTAGCTTGAATCCAGCTACTATGTCCACAAAAAATGTTCTGCTCCAGGAAATAAATTGGTGTGCATCTTCAATTGGACTTTCTTCACTGCGAGTGAGGAGCCGATACCATTGTAGTGGAATCATGATGATGGATCAGTGAGATATTGCTGAGTTTTAGAGCATATTTTTTCCCAATGAGAAAAACACACTATGCAAACCTAGTTGTGGAATTAAGTGAACTTGTATCGATTTTTTGTGGGTTGTCGTGCTTTGATCTCCTTCTCTTTTTTTTTTCTTTTTTTTTTCCGATCTCTATAATTGAGTAGATTTCACCTATTCTCCAACAAAGTAGACGTAATGATCAAGCATTAATCCTGAAATACTAGCATCAACACAGGACTCTCAATACACATAAGAGGGATAAAATTTATAAGCACAAAAGCAAATCCCCATACCAAAACCTACGTATAAAGAAGCAAAACTGAAAAGAACTAAGCCAAACCCTAGAATTAGGCTACTGATAAAAAACGCAGTTATACTTGATCGCATTTCTAAAGCAGAAAAAAATATCTCCAGCACCATTCTAAGATTGTGAAAATAATGGATTAAGAAAACGAAAAATTAGGTTAACAACCTTGAATTCCCGAATCCAGTCGATAGATTCACCGCTGGAACTGCCCATTGCTTTCAGTGCCACGTCAGTTTGGGAGCCCTCCGCTATTGCTTTGGTCAGACTGCAACCAGCTTCCTTCCCGGCGTTGCGTAGAAGCAGGAAGCTGGGGTGCAGGGCTTTCACCGGCCACCGGCCAGTGAACGGGTTAGATACGGATTCGAATTTTTGCGATGCGGGTACGCTATAGTAACATTTCGCATGGGCAAGACTCTAAGCACCTCAAAAAGATCTCATGATATTTTTGTTTGGATGAGAAATTTGATATGATTAATTGTCCATTCAAGCTAGAAAATATTTTGATAGGTTGAAATATTAATATCTACAAAGATTTTATGTGATCAAATATAACTCTTAATGTAATGTTTAAATTAAAAGTTTCTACAATTAAGTTCATAAATATTTGACTTTAAAATTTGACAAATTTATAGTTGAAATGAAGGCCTTGATTAAACTAATCCAACAACACTGAACGTTGGCCAATTTGAGTCTAAATGATCTTAAATTAAGCACATGAAGTATGATTAAAATTTTAGGGTATTAATTGAATGACTAAATGGTCTACAAATTTTATATGCTTCTAATCAAATTGAGCAGCTCAATGAGACGAATCTAACGACCTCAGGAACATTTAATTTTAAGGTCTTAAATGCACTCAGATGATGATTAAATGTTATATAAAAGATTCAGTAGGGGTCGTTCGATAGAGTGTTATGAAATTTTAGCTGAATTTATTAAATTGTAACTTCCAAAATATTATAAATAAACTCACATTCTCTATATATAGGTGGCCTAGATTTAAAATTAGAGAAGGATTGGAAATCTGAAGAAGTCAAAGCTATATCCAACATTCACGGTCAATGATTTTAGGTAGCCACCACCATCATTAGAATGTCATTGCTGGAACATCATTGTCTAACTATCATCATTTAATCATATTATTGCTCAGCTATTACAATCTATTTCTCATCATCCGATCTTCATTGTCCAACTACTATCACCTAACCACTGTCATCTGACCATTATCGTCTAACTGATTGATATTATTTGATTAGCGTCATCATCTCTTCATTATTTCTTCCATAATCTCTACTACAATTAAAAAAGAATAAGTCCAACTTTTTAATCACTTCTACTTCAATTGTGGGAAAGAGCAATTTTTTGTAATTTTAAGTATATGGTGGATTATTTGAATTGGCTTAAACCTCATGATTTTTCCATTTATGAATTTTACGTATAAAAACTTTAGTTTCTCATGAATTTCTTCTCTTTTATATGTATGTATATTGGATATTCATGCAAACTTAGACATAAAACTCTTTCTTTATTGCCATGAATTTCGTAGCTAATAACAGTTTAGCATTGTTTGCCAGAATCGTTATAAGTATACCTAGGATGTAAGTGTCTCATGATGATATTCTTCAACTCTTAGAGGAGCTAAGACAATAAATTGTACCACAATTTTATGGAACTCTCCAATTAAAATTTTAATAGGAGGCTAGGAATGATCACCATGGAATGGCTTCTCATTAGTATGATGCAATCATCTGCCACAGCCTCATTAAGGTCTCTTGAATAATGGCAATTCAATACATTATTATTATGTTGTTCGATTGAGTCATAATCTTTTCTAGCAATCTTGGAGGATTTAAATAAACCTCTCCATATCTTGACTAATAGATGAGCTTTCATATCTTGCTCAAGAGAAATTTTCTTTATGAGATAAGAACTTACTTGCCCCTTGCCAAAGTTTTCTAGAATCTTCAACTTTGACTAATGCAGTCTCCATCATTTTATTCTAGTGGTATTTAAGTTGCATGCAATTGATTCATATGATAAGATGTTTTTACTCAGCGAGCATAATGACCACTATAGAATCATCACGCATAATCAATAATCTTATGATCAAGTCTTTTGCTAGGTCTGTCATGTGACTTTTAAGGAATAAGGTTGTGTCTGTCTCTATTTGTTTGACAGAATAATTTTGTTGATTTAGTTAAAGTTTGTTTATCAAATAATTTATTAGCAATTAGAAGATCTTCAAGGACTATTCCCATATATCTAGGATTCGCCAAAATAATAACAACCCTTAAAGAGTACTTTCAAAGATTCTCTTTTATAGCACATCAAATTTTGGGAGTAGATTCAAAGTGTGCTCTTGAGCCTCAACATATGGACTAGAAGAGCAATTATAGAACTTGGAATGTAATATGACATACATAGACATATGGTGGTTAAGATTATGGAATCTTAAAAAGATAGTTTAACTTTAGTTAGTGAAGATCCTAACTTATGTTCCGATGAGCTCGACAAAGACGATGAACATAATTGTTATGATCTACAACAACCATAAGAATTAACCCTCTCTAATGCAATCATGTTCCTTTTAAGGATTCATAGATTTAGAACTTTATAAAAATTAGAAAACTTTTGTTCTTCTATTTTGAAGCTTGTTACTTTTAAATTGCCAACACCTTTTTCATTTGTTCACTAGATAAACCTAGCAATCCACTAAGCAATAGCAAATTGAACGTAGGTTAGTTCTAGTTTATTCATCGTAGGATCAACACTCTTCATCACTTTATTGCTTGATATGAAAACGTGTACTTGCATTTAAATCATGATTCACAACGTAGATAAACTATTTTGTTATTAATAAATTGAATAGTGTGCGTAAGCCAAGCACAAAATTCTGTATTTGCATCAGCCATATAATAGTTGCAGTAGCACTTGCCATTATATCATCTTGTCTTGTGTGTGAGCAAACAAAGTTCCTTATAATGAAACTTTATATATGATATCAAAAAATCCCTTTAAATGTTAACATCTCAGATTGTGTCATGTTGGAGCAATTACAATCCTATGACATAATATCAATATCCATATTCATAAACCTATTAATTTCTTCAGTGAAATATATTAAATAAGTTTAGATAAAAACAAAATCCAAAATAATAAATGCATAACATAGACAACAATAATACAATATTATAAAGCTTAGTCTTGGAGAAAATAATCCATTTCAACAATTAGAAATATTGTACAATTTTGACAAGTTGCACATAAAGGCTTCGTTTGGAACAACTTTCTAATCACTTTCTAAAGCAGCTTTCTACGACAAAAATTTCTAGTTCAAAACATTTTTATATTAAAAAGACATTTAAAAAGAACAGTAAAAAAGATGTCTCAAATAAAATCATAATTTTTCAATCATATAATTATTAGCAATAACACAAATATTTGGGTGAGTAATAGTCTCATTTTCTATTGATTAACTCTAACTTTTCATAAATTTGGACTATCTTTTACTCATTCAATTTCTTTCTTTGTCGTTTATAATTATTTATCTTAATGGTTCATTTTCTACACTTCATTTTCAAACAAAAAAAGATAAGGATAAAATAAAAACCAAGCTATATTAGATCAAATAAGAAGCATTATAAAAGTAAAGTGTGAAAGAATGGGATTAAAAGATTCAGGCTCATCATTACTTCATTATAATATATCATATGAGTTTTTTCTTAACTCATGTATTACAATGACTTCAACTATTAAATTACTCAATTATATACAACTCTAACCAAGAAGGATTAATTATGTTACGCTACTCTTTAATTACTAATCACAATAGTTAATTTTGCTTAAAATATTTTTTTGTGAATTGATTAAATGAATGAATTGCCATTATATTTGATATTTCTAATAATTAGAAATCAATTTTAAAGTTGCTATCATATGAAGTTTGTTTAATGAGGTCATATCTAAAGCATTGATGTTGTTCATCATCTTTTAGTAGTGAAAAGTTGGAGAAAAGGAATATAGTAGAAATAAGGCAAATAGAAAATGAAGAAAGATAATGCTTGCTACTCATTAGTATTCATACTATAAAATTGCAATGTAAAATGTACAACATGTTGTAAATGATTTTTATAGATTTTTAAGGGGCGTTTGTTTGGTTGAAAAAAGAATACAAAGTATTCTAAATGTAGGAAAAATCAAAATTTAGATGTTTGATTTCCTAAAAGGTGAATGCAGTATAAAATTTCATAGAACTCTTTTTTTATTTACTAATTCATTTTTGATTTATTATAAACTTGCCTCATTTTTGTTGAATTCCTTTTTCACTGCAAATTACCGCCTGTTCCCGCCACATGTAGTTGCCAACCACCATCGGTCAGCACCGACCACTGCGGACCACTATTGGTGGCCATCGACCATTGCCAATGATTAATGCCACATGCAATTGCCATTTTCACGCACCGCGGCCAACTACAATTGGATATCGCCTCCCGTCACTGGATGCCGGTGACCACCATCATTTTTTGACTTTACGCTACATTCATTTTACTTCAAACTAAACCAAAATAATAATAATTATAACCACCTACATTTATTTTGCACTCAACAGAACAACTCCAAAGCATGTCAAACACACTGCATTCCTGATACATTACATTTCTTTTTCAGACAACCAAATAGCCCCTAAATGTAGTGGGTGGTTAGAGTTGTGTGCAGGTAGTGCTCTTATAGAGGCGACCATTTTGAAGATATTGAATCACTTCTTCACAAGTCTGTTATCTCCTCTCTGTAAGTTGATAGTCAGATCTTGTAGTGTCAACTTGTCTTTAACATGCAAGAAACATTTATTTGAATGTGATTTAGTGAAGATATTTCTCAGAGTGGAGATACAATGAATAACAATGGGGTTAGATTTGATGTTGTCCTAGATAAAATGATAATCTATCTCGATGTGCTTGATTTCTTTTTGTGAAACTAGAGATTGTTGGCTAATGCTAAGGAATATATGTTATCACAATGGAGTAGAGGGGGCCAAATTAGGCATGGACATTGAGGTGAGTAAGCATTCGTCATAGTCAGATTAGGGGTCTAGTTAGGACAACTTTCCAACTTTTTTTTTTTTAGCCACAACCACAATTTTGTTGGGTTACTGATTCCTCGCTTCTTTCAAGAAATTTATGTGTTAGGAAGCTCCTTTTTATAGTAGCTTTTAAAAAGTTACTTTCCCTACAACAATTTTACAACTACCTTTAGAAAAGTTGAACTTGTCCCATATAAATCCTAAGTTTGTGGCTAAAGCATGCTACTTTACCTTTGTAAAAGAGAGAGTCATAGTGGTTTGTTTGTTAACACACAAAGAGATAAAGTGTTCAATCTAGAAAAGTGTCATAGCATTAGGTTGATTTTTTGTCTAAGAGAAGAGTTTCTTGTA